ACTGAGTCGGATCCCGTATAATGTAAAATAACTACCCTATTAATAATTATAGATATTTAAATATACAGTTAAACATTAAACACAATGTATATTAAAGTGATATCACTACTGTTGCTCACAACATCAAATACCATTTGGTTACTAATTAGAATACATTACATGTTTTTCTGAACCACAACTGTTTCAAAAGGATGAAGGCGTTCAACTTTAGATGCCGTTTTCTCCGATAGCTAGTTTTTACTGGTATATATGAGTGCTCCTTCGTGGTGTCACTGACGAAATGAGAAACTTTCGCTTCCCCTCCGCTGACTTTTCATTTGTAACCATAGTATTATTTTTAACTGTAACTGTTACTGTTAATTACGTCAGTATGACGTAGCCCTTTCAGACAAAATGTAGGCCTATATCAAATGAAAGATATTTCCATGCTCTATTGATTACCCGAAAAACATCTGAATTTGACATTTTGACCCATTTTCTGCCCTAACGACTTTCTTCCACGCACCTGACAATTTAGACTTTATGTAATTTTTGCTCTTGTCGAGGAAAGTTTAATTTTAATTGCATTTCTAGATCGACAATACTCCAAATTGAGGCCTGGCGCCCCCCCCCCCATATCCCCAAATTTAATCGTTGTCTTTCAATATGACAGATTCTTCCCATCACCGGTTACGGTCGGCGTCGTGTCATCATTTCGGACTCTTTAAGAGAGACCTGTTTACCCTTCCAAGTGACCCACTGTATCCCCATGTAATCATCGACTGTTGCGTTGTTGTAGTACAAGCCGTTCAGGTTGCTAGTGAAGTAGTCGCTGATGGCGCTATCGCAACTCTTGTACCACCAGCCTCCCTGAAATTTCTCAGCGCATTTTTCACCGTTGGTCTGGTCGTGGTCTTTGTCTGGAGTTGAGAAGTCTCCAGAACTATGACGCCCGAGTGAATCGCGTGTAACTGTGTGCATAAGAGAAGAGGTATTGTCAGACCTTGTATAAGTACATTAATGGATGACGAATACTGCATGGACATTTGCACGAACGGATTACTTATCAAACGACATTGAAACAGATTCCTTTCCTTTTGTTATTTCTTTTAGGTACCGTCTCCTTTCGTTATTTTTCGTTTGTAAACATGGCCATCGGTATTCGTTCACGGGAAAGTTACCTCATGGTATGCATCATGGGCATGACACTAACTGCTATAACTGTCAACGGTGTATTCGACCCACTTCAAGATTTACCCATCAACCGGAAATTTTTGACGATTTTCCGGTAAACATTCCAAAAACTGTTTTTGTGACGACACTGATTTTGGACATAATGATTTCATTGTATGCTAGACAAGCTGCCGAATAAAACATTCATTCGGTATTGGGTACAGATAGATACCTGCATTGCCTGCAGATTAAACTTTTTTTTTAGTAATAAGATTTAAAGACCTCAGTTAAACCAGAATTGTCTTATACTACAAAAACAGCGTGATCGAGCCCTCAAATAATTCATGGGACATTGTCTGTATAGTTGTGAATAGGTTTTGTGTCTGAAGACAACAACGGATCACGAAATGCAGCCTTTGCAGTGGAGCCATTTCTTTAAATTTGAAAATAAAATACATCTTTTGGTGTTTGATTTATTTCAGTATACATTATACTTGTACCTATTTTATTTCCAGTTTGATGACGTTTAATCAGTCACAATATGCAAAGTAAATATTGATTTAGTTTAAGAGAGGATACATGATCCTCCGTTTCAATTGGTTTGTTGACGTCACAAAATTAGTATCTTATTGTGAACGTATTGTACCGGATGCTATTATTTATGCTACGAATATATGAACTAAACACGAATTTTTAATTAAAAAAAATAAATAAAAAATGATAATTTTCTAAAATTTCAAAAACTTCCGGTCTACTGAAGTCATGATTCTGAAACCTTGCAAAGTCATTTGTGGTTGTCCAAATAATATCTAGGGGCAATTTGGTACCATTTTGACCATTAGTTTTTCAATCAAAAAGTTCCACCGTCTTTGATGTGCCGCTAGAGGGTGCCCTTTCGGATGATGATGTCATCCTGCTTTTTTATGTTTCACATTCCCCACTAAACACTGCCATAATTTTTGTGTCTGTAGTAGTCGCTCAAAATTTAATAACTGACGAAGTCATCATAACGCCACACTTGTATGCACACTTCTGTACCAGGGTTGATGTTCATACCAATTTTGAAATTCAAGCGTTGTTTCGTTTGCAAGTAAAGCCGCGGATAATTATTGTGAAGAAAAAAAACGCAAACAAGAGTACGAAAGAACGAAAGAAAGAAGATAAAACCGAAGGGTAAATTTGTGTGTAGCCCCATCACCCAATGTTGGCCATTTTAAAACGATGATCAGATTTGCCCAATCACCCACAAGCCTTTAAAATCTCGAAGACCACACCTTGTGGCGTGGTTGCCGGTGTAGATCTCGAGGGGATGGTCAAAGAGACTGCAGTTGGGGAGAGTGTGGAAAGGCGGATGAATGTGTCTTCTTCTGTAATAATACGAAATGTATTCAGCCATTCGGCATTTGAATACATATATGACCATAACAGGATCTGCGATGAAGAAAATTTTACATACTTTTGCAGCCGATGAGTTCCATACGCATTGACGGCCAATGGTTGTATGCAGTCGGCCTGATGCAGATAAAGCGAGCTCGGATCGGCTGGTCAAACATGCTGGTGACCGGGGTGGTTTGATCTCGGTTGCCTGGGAATGTCTGTGAAATACATATAATGTAAATAAAAACAATGCAGTCAACAATATTACCAAGTCCTTTTTACTGCACCAATTATTGTTTTCCTCCACTACTTGCACTGTCCTATTCTTTACTGTTTTAGGCAATTTTTATTAGGACACGAATAGAATGTTGATATTGTAGCGGGATCCTACTGGGCTCTTGTCCGCTAAATCCGGCCAAACGCAAGAAAAGGGGACAGACAGACGGGATTTCTAACTCTGAAGGAACTTCATTTATTTCGCCAAGCGGACTCTGCAGGCAACTTGCCACACCGCTACCAGAACTGCAACTGATCAATTCACAGCATAGACATACACACAATCTGAACAAATGTATACAAATGTAGCAACTAGAAAGTTCTTCCCGCGCAATTGAACAAAAGAACCCCACTTAAGCAACCTATTTTGTAGAGCCTATTTCCGGAGCGCGCGCCAGCAAGACCCAAAACCAGGTCAGGTGCGCGCCGCCGCAGCCCCTCCGCCGGAGCACCAGCGCCAGAAAGCAATGACAACAAAAGTGTGCATAGACTGTCCGTTACACTACCCCATCCTTAAATTGGGCCTATTCTCCTGAATAGGGGCACATATACAACACATTTTACATGAACTTTTTTTTTCTTTAACCCAACATTGGGTGTCCTCAAAGGATGTGGAGCAACGTTGATCTGGTCCCCAAAATGGTTACTCAGATCAAACGTTAATCCAGCAATCCATGATGACTACCTGTTCAACAGGGAAAACATTTTAGAAACAACATGAGAAATCAAACACTTTACTTTGTTTATCAATGGGTGTCCTCAATGGAAGTTGATCAGCGTTGATTCTAGTCCCCAGACTAGTGCACAGATTCAAACAATGATACAACAAACCGTGACGACTACGTTTTTTTTCTTGTCCACTTCACTTGGAAACTGTCCTTTATGTCCTAACTATTTCACAAAACAATGTCCATCCAAGAGAGAACTTCTCTCCAGTCTCTGTCTGTGTTGCACTTCGAAAGCTTTAGTGTCTTCAGCCAAGTACACAGGTCACATCGCTGTACTCCTTGCACCTGGTCGTTGACTCCCCAACCTTGCTTTGGCCCCGTTGTCTTCCGTGGTTTCTGTCCACGCACTGTTGTCTTCTCCGACAGCCTTGTCTTCCGTGGTGCACCCCGCACCGGCGGATTCCCTGTCTTCTTCGGCGACCTCATCTTCTGTGGTGCACCCTGCACCGGCGGATTCCCAGCCTTTGATGCTCCCTGCATCAACGGGTATCCTGTCTTCTGTGGTAGTCCCTGTACCTTCGGCCTCGTCTTCTTTGATGCGTCCTGCATCGCCGGATCCGCAGTCTGTTGGCTTACCGTTCTTGTCCCTGTCACGTGCACTTGTGGTCTGAAAGTCAATGTCGTTGCTTGCTCCAGCGGGGCTGCTTTCGCCGGGGGATAGTGCCGCTCCGGCTCGGTTGCCGTCACCTGAACATGAAGGTCAGTGTCTTGTGGTCGATTGTCCGTGGTCTGAGTTGCTGTCCCGGCAGTACGGCGGTCGATGATTTCAGCGTGCTCCGGCTGATCGACATGCACCAGCGGAGCCGTCCACAACGGTGGATCAGTGTGCATCGATGGAAATGTCCGCAACGATGGAGCTATCGATGTGCAGCTAAAGTTCTCCGCAGCAGTTGGATCAGGACTGGAAAAGTCGGTGCATCCACGAACCTCGATCCGATGGACAGCCGCCATGCTCGCCAGTATCACGGGACGGGGATCCACGTCAACAGCAGGGCTATCATCGCTCGCAGCGGCCTCAGTACTCGTGGTCTCCCCATTCACGCGACAACCCGGCCTAACATCAACTTCTGTCCCCGGACCGCTGAACAGGCTTGGTCTTCATCCTGATACGCACTGGTAGAATCATCGGAGCTGTACATCGCTTCCAATTCGGCGATCATTTTATTGATCCTCTGCAACACACCTACTGCTGAACCAGTTGCATGTGGATTACTTCTGTCCGAGGAATGGGCTGATCCACAAATCTGCCGCTCCAAGGAGTCTCCCACCTTCCGAACGTCAATGATGACATCGTTGATGACGTCCACGATCTCATCTGCAGCTGTGCTTTCCGTCATTTCCAGTCGGTCAAAAATTCGGCCAAATCCGGCCAAACGCAAGAAAAGGGGACAGACAGACGGGATTTCTAACTCTGAAGGAACTTCATTTATTTCGCCAAGCGGACTCTGCGGGCAACTTGCCACACCGCTACCAGAACTGCAACTGATCAATTCACAGCATAGACATACACACAATCTGAACAAATGTATACAAATGTAGCAACTTTACCCAACCCTGGAACCCAGCCAAGTTCTTCCCGCGCAATTGAACAAAAGAACCCCACTTAAGCAACCTATTTTGTAGAGCCTATTTCCGGAGCGCGCGCCAGCAAGACCCAAAACCAGGTCAGGTGCGCGCCGCCGGAGCCCCTCCGCCGGAGCACCAGCGCCAGAAAGCGATGACAACAAAATTGTGCATAGACTGTCCGTTACAATATGTTATGGGTAAACGAGAAAATGTCGCGGAAAGGCATTAACGCACATGAAGTTGTGCCCCAGGGTTGGGACTCTGCTGGTGCTTGTGCCGCGGTTTCCTCAATGGGTTGAGTGTTGTGGAAAATATTCCCAAGATGCATAGACGTCACATAGCGACGTCATCGTTTCTTTTACTAAATGCAATGGATTATTTACCTGTGGACTAGTCCCTGTTGACTGCATCACATACTGCCAATTGGATTGGTCATCACTGTACTGAACCTGGTACTCTGTTACCCACTCAGACCAGGTCTCCAGGGGGTCAAAGCTGCCTTGGATGATGACTCCTTCCACCTGCAGCCGCCATCCCAAATCCACCTGCAACCACGAGTCGGGTTCCGAACTTGGGCACCAGCCCCCAATGATTCCACCGCTGGTGCCCAGGTAGTTCAGCCGACCGTGACTCGCTTGGCAGTTATCTGTGCTGCGAGAGGAGTCCTCGTCCGTGTACCTGCTTGATGCCGAGATAGCGGAATCGTGGATGCTTCCGTCTTCCATCCCGAGACTTATACCGCATTCTACACAAAATAGAGAACAAAGTTTGCTTCCAATCTCGAAAGTAATCATTCAATATTCTCCCAAATGATTGTTTGATCTGGTTATAAATGCAGGGGAGTCAGAGCGACAAAAGCTACAGGCTGTTTTTTTTTTGCACCACAGGTGTACCAGTCACATACATACCAGTATGTTTTTTTTAACGCATAGGTCATTTACGTAGTTGCGGCGAAGTTCCTTCTTTTTTGTAGCGAAGTATCAAAACAAAATAATTATTCGCGTCTGTTGAGTTACAAACGCTGAGTGGTCGCTTGTAATTTGATATGTTATGACATATATTTGATATGGTTGATATGTTTGAACAGAGTTTCATCTTTTTCCTTTGAATCTTTAAGCAGAAATTCCGTTTGTTATAATATGCTCGCATCTTTTGGTATTTTGAATTTTCCTAACTTTGACATTCCGCTAACCCCGGAAGTAAAGCTCAAGCGACTTCATGTAAATGGTCTATCAGATCGCAAAGTGTGAACTTAATTTGCTGCTCTGGTCAAGAGTTATGATTGAAACAAAGCGGTCAGTTTTGTTACTAAAATTGATTGTAATTTGACACCTGATGACGTAATCATGACGTCACACTTGTATGCCTACCTCGGTATCAGGATTGATGTTTATACCCCTTTTGAAGTTCATGCGTTGTTCCGTTTTAAAGACAAGCCGCAGAGAATTATTGTCCAGAAGAAAACAAAACCAATTCAAAGAACACGAACACGAGGAAAGAAGGGAGACAAAACCAAAGGGCTCCGACCATTTCATAACAGTGATCGGGTCATTTGCTATCACACTATTTGGGTGATATTCAGCCTCGACTCCATGGGCGCGTGCGCGTTCCTTCACTAACCCCTGGCCGCGATGTACACGTCAACGATATTGACTGGCTATTCAGAGCGTACTGCGCGCGCATTTCGAAGATTGCACGCCACGCGCGCCCATAATGCGCTCGCGTGCTTTGCATGTCACGTCACATACGAAAATTATTTGTTATTCAAAACTCGCGATGCCTGTACGGTATGGATTATGGCAGCCTCGTTTTTCGCAAACCCCCCCCCCCTGTATCTTCGGTTGTAAAGGGATGAAAGGAGTACGTACATTTAATACAAATCTTTGCTAAATAATGCAACGTCCAAACCTTATGTTTGAAATGATTGATTCTTCAATATCACAACTTTAAACATTTAAAGATGGCGTCGGCACGCAAAACAGATAAACTGCAGCCTAATTATAATGTGCCATATTTTGACACATTTAAATTACACAATTCCAGGGGTGGAGATCGCGCAAGGCATGATGTGAAACAACATGGCGCAGCAAGATCTCGTACCCATGGGAACGAGGTTGGGTGAGTTTCACTCTAAAGTCGTCTAGTCCGTAGTTTCATTATTTTGAGTTTAGAGAGAAGACATGCTGATGTGTGATAGGAAAGGGAACGAGAATGAAAGCAAAGGGGTATAACGTACCTGCATCTCCACTCTCATCATTGAAGCCATTGACGTCAAGCCAGTAATTGTGCGAGTGTATTTCGAAATTCTGATAACGAACACGGGCCTCGTCCCCATCGAACGCCCTCAGAGTGATGACCAGCTCCCAACCCCCGTTACCAGTCAGACTATGCAGCTTCTGGTTGCCGAGCCAAAACTCTCCGGTCAGATTCCCGAATCCCTCGGCGTATTCCTGCCAGGTTCGGTTGAAGCTCACCGAGCCGTCCAGGCGTCTCTGAAACACCTGTCGAAAAACGATATGAGTGACGATAAAACTGGGACACTGTTTTTCACCTCCGCTTTACTACCCTTGTTCAGGTTTAACTTTATTTTGTTTTAGATAGAATAGCGAATCAAACGGTGTGATTGGCGAAGTCCAAGACTTAGAAAAGGACTTTGGGAACACTTTACATTTTAGAGATCTTCCTGAAAACTAAGTTAACCAGGCATCACGGTACCTCGGTAACGAGCTTTTTAGCTGGCGGGAATACAGAGCTGTAAAGCACAACTAATACTCGTCGTTGGAATCGCAATAAAATTTACAAATGGCTGGGACAGGTGAAATTTTGGCACTTTGCATGTTGCAATTTTCCACTTCCCGTTCGGGGCGATTATGTTAATGTTATACTGGTTCAGATCGCGTATGCACGGACGTTACATTATTTTACAGTGGTTTCATTGCGTTTCATGCAAGAGTTCCTACAACAGTACCCGGTACCAGAAGTTGAAAACAAACATGCATCAAGACTTGTTTGTCGACTTTAAATATATAGTACCTCTGTGAGCTAATTTAACAATAAACACACCCTTCAAAATGAGTTTGAGAAAATAAGAACTGTACTCACTATGTATCCTTTCCCCGACTCCGGCTGCATGCGGCAGTAGACCTGCATTTTTTGGCCTGCATGCTGTATAGTATACACACCGCTCGTTGTTTGACCAGCATCCAAGATCTCTTGACAATCTGCTCGAGGCTCCGTCAGCTCTGGGGTGATGCTGACAACTGCTTTTTGGGTCGCCCCTTGGGCATCCGTGGTGACTTAAAAAAAAGAAAAAGAAGAAACTGGATTTTGATGCCCCGTTCAGCAGAATGTGCTTAAAGAACAGCATTTCAAATTTCATAGATTGCTCACAATTTGTAAAAAGAAAACACGGATGTAAAGTGTAATAATGATAGTAAACAAAGACTTGACAAAAGACATAAGTGCACTCCAGAAATATATATTAGTAGTGAGGATTTTTTGAATGTTTTATTTTTTTTGGCCAGATAAATTCCCACCACTCGCCAACCCTAAACTTGCGCAGCCCGTATCCTCTAAAATCGAATGCTTAGTTCCAGTCTTACAGGAGTTTCAGTTGCTGAATACTATTTTGTTCCTGTCACAGCAATTTCGCAGCATTACTTCCATCCGAAAATTAAAATTGTATATATTTGCAGTCCAAGCAACATATAAATGAAGTGTTATTTCCACCAAAAAAAAGCGATCAACGCTACTTTGTTAGATTTTAAAATCCCAACCTCACCTTGCTGCCCAAAATCAGTTTCTAGAATTTAATGTAGTTAAATACATTTTCATAAATTCATCAAGGGAATAATGAAGCTTATTAGACTTGTTGGACCGTTTTTATTCTTTTATTAAAATGTCATAATCGTGGAATGTTTCAGGTTTCTCAAATGGATGTATTGCGTTGTGGAAATGAACTCTTCACATTCACGTCAATGATCTGGGGTTAATTATGTTTGTACCCAATATACCTTTGTCACAACCTTAATTCGTTGAACGATATGGCCCATTCAAAAAGGATGACTTTAAAAACATGCTTTGGGAGTTAAATTCAGTTCTCCTACTCACCCCTCGGAGTTTCAGTAGAGACTCCGTCTTTCTTCGTTGCCACGCAATGGTAGAACTTGGCAAGTCCGTCCGCGAGGATGTCCTTCAGGTGACAGATGTCGATGTACAGCGGGCCGTCGATGTACAGCGTGCCGTCTGGCCTCGGCGGCGCATAGGCGTTGTGACCGCCCAGTCTGACGTCCGTGCACGTACAGGGATCTATAGCCGGCAGGACGAGCTTGATTCTGCCGCCATCGGCTGGGTCTGGTTCCGTGACGAGAACACAGACCCTGGCAGACACAGCGGTGAATGCTGTAAGACATGAAATGACAAATATATATTGACCCATATATTAACAAATGAAAAATCACAAACATTAAACTTGTTATTATAAGATGGAATATTGCGTCTGGGTGATATAAATTAAATTAGGTTTTGCCCTTCACCGACGTTTAAACACTGTATACTCAGTGTGTTACCTCCCGAGTGAAAGATGGAAAAAATCACTCGGGTGGGACTCGAACCCACGACCTCCTGCTTTCTAGTGCAGATGTCTTACCACTCGACCACCGAGCTAACGGGATCGGTTGGCTGGATCGGTTGGCGGTACCCGCTGCTATGTACATCAGATTCGAACCAGCCAACCGATCCCGTTAGCTCGGTGGTCGAGTGGTAAGACTTCTGCACTAGAAAGCAGGAGGTCGTGGGTTCGAGTCCCACCCGAGTGATTTTTCCATATTTCACTCGGGAGGTAATACGGTGAAGGGCAAAACCTAATTTAATAAAACTTGTTTTTTTTTTTGCCAATTCATCATCAAAATTTTCACTCCGACAAATAAGGTCATGTAATTTCCATGTGCCGTTAATTTCATTCAGATTTGTCAAAGCAAAGAGCGACAGTTTGTTGAATAATTACATTTCGTTAGTCCGTAGACATTTTGCACATTTCCTTATACTAATATTTTTTCCCAGTGGTACTCGCTTTCAGAGTCGTATTTCCACATATACGAAATCAAGACCAATTCGTCGTGTGCCAAGGAAAAGGTCGTAAGCAACACATAGGCACGCATAAAGCAACTTTGGAGATAATCGAGTTGAAAGGTTTGATGCTCCCATTTCTAAATTAAAAATCACATCAGGCTGAAATTTGGACTCATAAAAGTCGTTAATAATTAATGTAATATCGTGCATTTTTATTTCAAAATATTACTTCATTTTGAAGTTATTTCAATTTTTCTGCTTTCGACCTTTTACTGGGAACCCCATCTGCCTTAAACGTGCGCCTTAGCGGCATGTTAAATCCTATAACTTCCTTCTGCCGGGAACAAAATAGCTTTGCGTACCCACTTGAGTTGGACGTTAAGCGCTCTTGGAACATATTTTGTTCCATTAACATTACACGCTAACGACCTTTTGCCGTGAACAACATGTGACAAACCTCCTTACGTCTTTTGTTTACTGTTAATTACGTAGTCCTTTGAGACAAAATGTATATCAGATGAAACACATTTCCATTTTTCTACATTCAAATTGTATATTGCATGGTTCTTGGCGTACAAAGATCTCAATCAAAGCGGCTCACAATGGGTCACGATGTACATCTAACAATTACAAAATGTAAACCTAGCCTATACATACCCAAGACGATGACCGCTAACGCTAAGGTTGGTGGATTCCACCCAGGCGGCATAATGATCACGCCCACTTCAACTCTGAAAAGAAAATTAAAAATAAAGTAAATAGGACCATTATGTTAATGAAAATAATCTGTCTTCTGCTAGAAAAATGAACTCGAAGACAGCCGTCATCCCGAGGCTGAATTGCGCCCAGTCTGGCGTATGGGTCGGCCTTTTTATTTTGAAATGAAATTTGAATCCGTACCAATTTAATGACAGAATAATTAAGCCTTTTTTTTCTTTTCACTGAAAAACAAGAACAACGAAAAACAAATGGTCATCGGCACCACGACCTGACACTCAGTTGCGAGTGAGTGCGCTGCACGCGCGCGTATTTACAGAACCGGGTTATTTTGGGTTTCACGAACTGACATCCTCCCCAGTGCGGCACCTTTAGAGCGCATCCGTACATTTTCTGTTTCAAGAACTGACACCGACCTTAAAGGGACACTGCGTCATGGAACAGCCTACTTGGGCTACGATAACGCGCTTTGAACGAAATAATGTTAATCGGAAGAGAACATTTAAAAGTAGGATATATACATCCACACAACTGTCCTTTAAAAACTGGGCGTTTTGTGTTATTCCTGTATTATGCGTGCGAGAACAACTTTTAAGGAATTCCATTCAATATCACTTCGTTTAAAACGCGTTTTTAGCCCACCTGGGCGTATTTCAGGCCGTAATGTCCTTGAAATAACTTATTGCCAGAAAAAAATGCCATTAAGAAAAGGAATGATTCTTTTCGGAAACGTCTCTCTTTAAAAGACTTTCATCAAAAACGTCTCTCAATTTGACAATTTGGGATCACCAAAACCAACGATTCCATTCATTCGATACATTTCTTTTTCTGATATTCAATGGTTAAGAAGTATGAACATTACACTGTGTCAATATGACACGTATGGTGTAACAGTCGTGCCATCAGCCCTCGAATACAGAATACATTTGAAATTATGGTGACCATTTTGCTTGTTTTTCTTCATTTTGTCTTTATATAATAAAATATGAAATAATTCATTTAAAATGAATTGACCCATAAAAGATATACCTTCTATAAAGTCCATCATAGGAATTGACATGCAACTTGGCGATGCAGACCCGAAAAAAGACTATCAACGTTATCATTGTTTTGCCATTCACGTGTTGAATACTGAGAGACAACTGTGATGCCCCGTATCCATGACGACCAAACAAAACATAATAAATGCATTGTACATCCATCTTCCGAGTTGCTTCGGAGTCGTCAATCATTATAATCAATATTTAATAAATTGGCCGGAAAAACCTACATAATTATGCAGCTATCGTTGTTATTCTGAGAACCTAGATTTTCCCCCAAACCATATTTTCTCGAAAAACCACAATGCTCATTACCTTCAATATTGATCAACGTATTTATTATTTGTTTTTAATCAAAACGCTACTTCAATGACACACTTCAAAAATGAGACAAATCAAAAAGCCTGTTTATGGATCCTACCGAATTATTATCAAACAAATGACTAGGATTAAAGGTCGTACCGGAACTAAACACTCCGTGAAATTATTCCAGCTTGCTGTCAGTTAGAAGAAATCATGGAATGTAGCTGATTACCAACGAAATAAAGAGTCGTTTAGAAGGAATCTTGTTTCGTGATCAAAAGGCTGTGAATGATTTTTACTGTTTTCTAGTACAGCGTAACATCCACTGAGATAAAAGCTCAACAGGTTAGGTTTTAAACGTTCTTCTTTGGTTTTTGTCTGGTGTTATATATTTAAAAAAAAAAAAAATCAACTGATCCTTACCTATAAAACACTGCTGTCATTTCGATTAAAAACAACCCAACTGCACCATTACCAATTTTTGCTCAACATAGGGAGCTAATTTAGCCATAATCTGGTGATGGGATGTCAGTGAAGTAAAACACAATTAAATTCAATTGTGTGTAGACCGTGGTCTGTGCACAATCGTGGTTTTCATTATTGCCCGGAAATAAATCCATTAAAAAAGGTGTTAGTTCCTTTATTACATGTAACTGCCAACTGACCCTGCAAAATAATAATGGAATATGTGTTAATTATAATTAATAAGAATAATTATGGAATTGATCAGCAGCCTTTACCAAAAGTGACTGACAAAATATAAGCCTCTTTGACTCACCGATTTGAGTCACCGAGAATCCAGCGAGTCCTCCTCGGGTTGAATCCGCGTTCGTTCGGCAGAGATCTAGCACTATTCACTCTCTTGAGTTCGCAACGGAGATACGTACCGCCCAGCGGCCACTGTCTGAATTCCCCTGATAAACACTGAAGAAGAAGAAGGCTGGGCCTTCATTACGGCGACTCGCTTCGTATGATTTCAGTTATTACCTCTCTGTTAATGTTACAGTAACGTAAACAATGTTTTGGATGATTTCCATGGTTTCGATACAGTAGTTCTATCACGAAAATATTAATAATAATGGTAAATGAATCGCAGAGTTGGTCTATTGTGATTTGTTTCCTGGTGCGTGTAGCTATTTTGTGCTGAATGAATCGACAAGCTCGCATAGACTTGTTCTGACGTCAATAAACGCCGTTGGTTTATCCTTTTCTAAATTTAGACTTGCCCTTCAAAAATATAAATATGGTGTGTCTTTCCGTAAAATGAAAAGACTGGGCTTTTTCCGCGTACGCAAAATTTAGATAATCAATGAGAATTCTGAAACAGAGTAATGGTTCTGATAAATGACAGAAACAAAATTATTTCAATGTTATAGTCCAAGTGGCTCATATATACAGCCCCACGCCACAATAAATCAGGATAGAAATCTATCGAATACCACTGTGTAATTCCTTGAGCATCGTTCCTTAATATAATTTTCGCAATATTTCTAACTCGTACGTGTACGTTGTTGACACGAATCGCTTGGACAGCATGAGTCCGCTTGCCCTGTTGCCGCGTTGTATCACTTTTGTTTCTATTACAATACAAGGTTTGTTATATAATTACAAATTGTATGAAATTCTTCAATTATACATCTTTCTTCAATGCAGTACATGTAAAGGTACATTTGAAAGCAATACGCAATATACCATTGCAAGAAACAAAAGCCGTCTACGAGGCATGTACATTGTACATTATTTGTACGGACTATCCATAATTGGTGACGGTGAGCGGAAAAGAGGCTTGAAACGAGTTTCCCGATAATATAGGTTTTCTCGGTCAATATTGGCAAATGAACAGCCAATTTAACCACTACACTATTCTATTTCGCGCGAAATCAAATGCTACTGAAAAGGGTCGTTCGATTTCGTTTTATGACCAGTCAAATGTACTGTTGCGTCATTCGATTTAACAAAAAATTCATGCAATTTAACAATTCAACAAAGCAGCCTTCAAATTCGCAGGAGCTTTTTGAGGCGTGTGTTTAGTCATTCAAATTCATTTTTGGGCAGTCATTTCTGGAATTTGTGCAATCTAAAAAACGCTTTGTTAAATGTTTGTTTCCTTAAGAATGTTGAAGGCATAAATAAGGTTTACTTTTTGGCACTTGAGTCACTTTGCCGATGTACTTCGAAGACGAGCTTTCGCTACAGTTTTACACGCATATTTCTAGAAATGGCAGCTCGTGGTCGCTACGCTAGAGTGGCCCAGGTAGATCGAGAAAGGTTGATTGAGGCCTTCGAGGGAAACGAGCAAGACTACCTTCAGCTTGCAGTCAATTTGAACATCAACAAGTCCACAGCCAGATCAATTGTAGCAACATATTTGAGGACTGGAAGGCGAGAGACGCTGGCAAGAGGAGGAGCAACCCACAGCAAGATGGATGATGACATGCGAAACCATCTGCAAGGCATCCTTGACGCTAATCCCGTCTTGACACTTCAACAAATGAAGGCTAGTTTGAGTGAGCATCTGCCAGAGAAGCCCCATGTTTCTACTGCCACCATAGCCAGGGCCTTGGATGGGATGATGATTACACTGAAACTAGTGGAGGACGACCCTGATGCAAGTCATCACCCAAGTGAAGTGCATGCAGTGGTACAACCATACCCAAACATATATGCCAAGATGTCTGGCACGCCAACAGATTGATGGTTGAGGAAGAAACAACATAAACAATAAAAAACTAGGAAAAACATAAAGAAACACCCCATTCAAACACAACACAAAATTAGGTCTTGGTCAGTTAACCAATAAAGATCCCTCCTAAAAAAAAAAAGAATGAAGAAGAAAACAAAGAAGAAGAAAAAAGCTCATTGGCCCCATGTAAAGTCTACTGAAAGCATAAATAAAGAAAACAAGGTTTGCCTGAATTAAAGTGAAGATACGAAACAGTTGCCTAGTACAGTTTATCTGTTTATTCGCATTTCTTAAGTCGTACTTATTTGAATTCTCTTTAAGCGAAATTGATTGCCTCTTTACGAAATTGAAAAAAAATTAAATCAGTAAAATCTCCAGTCGAACCAGCTTTGCTAAATTGAATGATGATTGTGTGTCACGAAAAAGAATGACGATATGCTAAATTAAACACAGTGCTAAAGGAATTGGAATGCCTCAAAACGAAATTGAATGGCCGAATTCTGAATTTGAAACGCAGTTACAACTGGAGAGGCAAAATAGCTTTAATTCGAACGCACGAAAATTAAATTGGCTGCTCATTTGCCGAAATTGACTGAGAAAACCTATATGAGGACATTTATTGAGTTTGGACAACCTTGTATATTGCACGAGTAATAACAATATTGTACGAGTTGAAGACAAGTGCAATTTGATTATATCAAGAGCAATATATTCTTGTATCCCCCCCCCCTAAAAAAAACCCCAAGTCATTCATGTATTATTGTCCAAGAGCCCAGGTTTAATTATAATATTGAGCACACAACGGTTAATGGTGGCAATGGGTTTTGTTCACGGTTTTGAACGGTAAAAACAAATTGTTATTGGAAAAAACCCCGTAAAACATATACTTAATAACGTACTTTGTCGCGACATGACGCAATAGTCTGGCAAAACACACAGGAGTTTGCAAAATAATGCAATGCAACTGTGAAATACTGCGGCAGTAAAACAAAATAAATCAATACAGTTTGTGAAATAACGCAATAATAGACCTACATTTTTCAAAATAACACATTGTGAAAGAGTCACACCGGAGAAAAGCACTGTGGTCACTCGGCAAGCATTTATTCGCTTGATACCGTCCAACAAGCATGGTTTAACAATCACATGTACAATTTACATATAAGTTAATATAAATGATCCTAACCAGGTCCAGGTATACTTACCAGCATGGTTGAATAATCATATTTACAACTTACATGCTAACAGTTATAATCATTACAAGGCTACGGCTATATCCCGAACAGTTAGCAGCGCAATCGCTACTTTCAATTCCCAAAGGACTACGGATATCCCAACAATTAGAAGCGCCACTCGCTTCTCGCAACAGTCATAAAAGCGCCAGTCGCTTCTCGTAACAATTAGAAGCGCTAGTCACTTCTTACGAGTCCCCATGGACTAATATGATATCCCTACCATTAGAAGCGCAAACGCTTCTCACAAGTCTCAAAGGACTATATACGGATATCCCTACAATTGGAAGCGCAATCGCTTCTCACAACAATTAGAAGCGCCCTCGCTTTTCATAAGCTGATATAAACGCTGTGGATAATTTCCTTATCCGCAGCACAAGAGCCCATGGCGGGAAAGTGGCTCAGATCAATCATTACAATTCGTCCGTTTGTGCTGACCCTTGGCCTACCACTCAGAATTTGACAAAATGGCCAATCTCACCTTTCCCTCCCTGGGCTTAAACCATCCAAACAACCATACAACCAGTATATATATATTTGTGTGTGTGTGTGAGCTTGTCTTACATACGCAGTGTGGACTTCCGAACAAAAGACGTCCACATAATGTAGGTTGCAGCGACGAAGTGTGGACTTGCCCACGTCCACACAGTGTTTCCCCATTTCTGGAAAACAGGTTTAGAGGCATTTTTGGGTTAGGTTTATCTGTAGCAGAATGAAGAGAAACACTAAAGGGAATCATTGAAAAAAAATTGGGTTGTAAGAGTTTTCACAGTTTGAGAAAAATGAGTTTTTCCACTGGTGTTCCTTAACTACACGAAAAGAAAGGAAAGTCCACACTAGGTATGTGAAACAAGTCTGGGTGTGTGGGTGTGTGTGTGTGTGTGTGTGTGTGTGTTCCTGCATGGCATTACGCCTGAGGACAGACAACAAAAGGAGCACAAAGGGGCCATTGATCCTCGAAGGAAGGTGCCTATTGTCCTCAAACGCAGGTTTGTGTGCTTAGTCTATGGGAGAGTGTTATATTACAGGGACAAAGGAAAACACAAAGCCAATCCTCGGAAGCATAGCAAAAAACGACTGTGTGTGTGTGAGCCTGGTTACTCAATTATCTCCGACTTTACTCCCGTTCCACTGGAGACACTACGAGACCCACAAGACATGTGATCAGCTAACTACTGCTTATCCCCTAAACCCTTGAATAAATGCAATATATCTTGACATAAAAAGTACACATTCCACAATACTTTGGATTTCGCACTACGTGTCCGGATATGTTACAACATACTATGGATAAGCCTGTAACCAACACAATAATGTGTTATCCGAATGCCAAATTGCCAACTTGTCTCGGAATGAACGATAAAGTCTTATCCGTGGAACGGCCATATTAAGTATTCCAAATGTCGAATTTCAGTTGTGAAAACCATAATTGCACATAACCTAAGAAACCAATCGTGATAGTAGCCGGCTACGAAAACTCGAAACTCGTTGAGAAAACTGAGAACGTAGTTTGGCCCCAAGCTTGCTATCTCATGCCAAGCTGATGATTGGATTCTTCCATTTACAAACTGCCTTACGCAGTTAGCGGTTACTTCAGTTCTTATTACTGTTATCATTTTATCCCCCACGTTTACTCCCAGTGGAGACCCACTTTACACTACGTCATGAGCAGCTACAAATTGTTTGTAACCACCGCTACCATTAAATTGTGAACGGCAACAACTTGTTTGTAACCAACCTGGTTCCCCACTACCTTAAGATTGACTACACACTGTTTATCCAACCAGTTTTACACGTTACGTGTAATCGATTACCAATCTGTTGTAATCAATTAATCTGGTTTGCCAGCAAATCATGCTCGACTGTTCATGATAACCTCGTTTACCAATAATCATGCTCGACAAGTATTCAACCGTTATTCCTGCTCAATTACAAGTTGTCTTACCAACATGGGTAAGGGTTACACTTAACAAGTCAGAATTGACTACAAATTGTTTAAAACCAACCTGGTTTACCCATACGTCACTATCGAACACA